ATCATATCATATGATACGCTCTACGCGCAACAATGTATTATATTATGAAAGTAGTAATAATCATCATGAATAATAGTGCATCAAAATATTAACTATAAAGGTCAACTCACATCATCAAGTAGAGCATCATATCATATTAAAATTATCATATATATATATATATATATGGTGCATAAGAGGGTTGACATATCATATTGGCATGTGACATTATTAATCATAATAATGTAGTTAGATGCTTGGAGGGTAACATTAATTGTGCAACCAAATATATAATTAACATAAATGTTGTAAGTTAAAAAAAAATGTTGTAAGCATATTTGGAATATGAAGGGAATTGTTTTACTTCGTATTCCTTTGGCTATCAAATATTAGTATTGCGTCATGAGAATTATAATAAATGACTTGACGTATGATATGGTGCTTGCTATTTATAGTGCAACCTATGCTATTAGCTTTCAATCATGTTAGTTCATATTATATAATGCATATATTTATCATATTATATATGTTTGTCATAATGTGATATTAGAATGTGAAATATGGTGATTTAACTATGTATTATATAGATGATATGATATATATACATGTACGATAAGATTGGCTAACACTTAGTTTGATGGGTTTGTTGACATGCATAGAAGGGTGGGATGATATGACTCTACTTATTGATTTGATGTAGGCCCTCTAAAAAGCCATCCTATCCTAAAGAAGTTATAAGTTTAATATGCTTATTTAAATCACCTAGTGTACTCAACGTGATGATATTATTTTATTTTTAGCCATCTAAGATGTTAACATATCCAATGTAGGCATATGGAAAGCCATCAAATCCTAGGAACCTAGTGTAGGCCATTTGACAAGCAGCTATGTTCCATCTAGCTGATGTATGGCCTTTATGCATCCATTAAAAATATTTGACTAGCTATAAAATATCTTTTATGTATATTTGTGAATGATGATGCATCTATACAATTTTTTTTTATTCTAATAAATGAGTGGCTTTACTCTTAGAGTCAGAATGTGAAACGAGCATATACATGAAAAGGTTGGAGTAGCTCCAGTGACATATAAAATTAGAGAAAGTCGTCTAGATGGTTTAGTCACATAAAACATTGGCCTTCCGAACCCAATTAGGAGACTAGATTTATTAGATTTGGCTCATGTTAAGAAAGGTATATATATATTATGGGGATGGGGCTTGTGTAGATTATCAAGATTGATTCTAACTGAGCTTAGCTAGGTATGACATGCAAGATTTAAATATGACTAAGTTTTCTTTGATATACCAATAATTAAAACTCAGTTAAATAAAAACAAGTACATGTGTCAAATCAAGTAATAAAATGATGATGTAGAGTGTTGAACCCACAAGGAAGAGTTATACTTACCTGCAATAAACTACTACTATTTACTCTAATTGTATAAGTTATCCTATCAAAATAAAAATGATGTTTTTGAGTTCCTACCACTGAATAAAAATAAGTAAAATAGTTGATATAATTTAAAATATTTTGAATTGATGCATGTAAATATCACATTTTTTCTAATGATACTCTTAATTTTAGATACGGATCATAGCATATGCATTCCAAGATCCTTATCGAGCTTGTAGGGATGAAAAGGATATCCACTGACCTCTTACAATTTTAATATCTGGTTATTTTTAGACTTATCACAAGTTGCATTTGCATTACTGTATTTAATTCATATTCTACATGCATAAGCTATTTATGAATATAATTATATTAATATGCAAGCATTTACAAAAAATATATATGTTATATAATTATCTTAATATGCCTTTAATTGCATAATCATCAATTTGGATGTGTTTGGTGCTTTGCATATTATACTCTTAGGTAACTTTATTCATTATTTATCATATGATATTTGATTTCTATAATGATTAGCAAGAACATTTGTTCTATCATTCAACTTGATTCATTCTAGCAATTTTATGTATAAGTTTGACTTTGATATCATTACTCAATCTCTAAGTTTGGTTAGGTCACATATCCTTAATAATAATTTCTATATTTGACTTGAATCTATAATAATTACTTTGTTAGATCGATTATCCATTTGATTAAATCTTCACAAGTATATTCATAATATATTACAAGATCAAGTGTATGCTCATATGAAATATTCAATGGACATAATTCTATATAACGTAATGCTTGATAAGACTTACCTATATATTATTTTCTTTCCCTTGTATTGAGATATTTGATTGATTTCATGTGATTTATAAAGCTATATGATCACCATGTTGATTTCAATATATATATATATGAATGACGATAAAGTTTTATGGTAATTATGGAGATTGTAGTATCACACTATATAATATGATTTTATACTTCTATTATAGGTGACTTATAGAATGTGGTTTTTTATATACTTTATTTTGGGGTGGAAATGATATGTTAATTTTCTCTTTTAGATATAATGAAAATAGAATGTATTTAGCTTTGACAATTATTATATGATCTAATTATGTTCTTAAATTCTTTTGTGTTGTGAGCAATGCAATCAGGCTTTTATGTATCGAATTGTGGTAATACTAATCATATGTGTTGGTTCATGCTCTAATAGATATTTAAATTTTGAAAATTTATATGAATATTCAAATAAAATTTGCAATTACTGCTATGTAAAATAATTTGACTTTTTCTCATTATGTTATACCCCAACTTGATCGAGACCTATTCCAAGATTAGGGGGTCACATTAGGTTGAGGGTGATCAAATGGTTGGGGCATGACATGGTTGAACAGCCCCCAACCCCTTCTTACCATGAGCATGATATCCATGGCATCTAATGTGTTTATCAAGATTTTATATGTTTTATCCATATAGATTAGGAACATATAAAATTCTTCTGATCCCTATTCATGAACTATTTATGATATTAAATTTATGTTGAGGAGATAAACATTTTGACACAAGAATGAGATGTTATTGTCACTATTTTCTAATGGCCACTTAATGTTATCCATGAAATTTTCACAGAATTGTGATGGCTATTTTTAATGTCAGAACTTTGATTCATTCGATTTATTAGAATCATGGTATTGGGAACTTCATAACAAAGTATTTTGTTTATCAACTAAAGATAAGGTTGGTGGAAAGCATTATCGAACCACTGCTAAGTCAATGTTGTCGACCCTTGGCTAGCTAATAGGGCCAACCCTATGCTTAAGAGAGCCTAATTTGGACTATTTAGGGGGTGAAATTATATGGAATATTATGGTCAAAATGCTAAAAAGCCCCTCTAAAATATATAAATAACCCTTGATTCTATACATTTTGAGCATTTAAAAACAAAAGTTATTGGATGCAGATAGTTTCAAAACTCTAATCACCATCTTGGAGTGTCAACCAAACATTCATAATGCTCTCAAATCTATCATATTTCATTGCATGTGAACCACCCAGTTCCCCTCCTTTTAGGACTCTAATTGCCCATCAACTCAAGGTAGCCCCAATCCCCTTCTTTCCAAGATAGAAACCGTCTCAACAACCTTTAGCTATCTACAAATTAGATCATTTGGTATCCTTCCTTTTCTAAATTGAAGGGACTATAGTTATGTCCATTAACCCAATCCATACTAATGGCTTCTAAATTTTAGGGAATAACTTTTTGTAATCTAGAACTATAAGTGGTGAAAACAAATAGGCTACATGCTTTATTTTAGTTTTCTTATAAAAAATATATCCTATGTGTTTTCTTTTTTTCTTTTCTAATTATGCAAAGACTCATGGTTCAAAGTCAAGATAAAAATATATTATTCACCACAATCCCAATGCATAATAGTTTGGTACCTTATGTGAAATATACATCTCATTTATTATTGATTGGTTGAATATCGACAACCCTCTAACAATAATTAATAAAAAATAATCATTATAATATTATGTTGATAAAAATTTTTTTTTCTTCCCTTTTTTTTATTGGACTATCATAATTCAAGAAATAATCCTTCAATTAGAGATACCTTAGTTTCCCCTTCCCAAAAAAGGGAACCCTACCAACAAAGGTTCTTCTAATATATCATTGAAAGATTGCATTTGACACATACATGAAGAACGTGATATTATACTACATCTTCCATAAGAGTCATGCTAATTAAGACCTTCACACTAGAATTATAATGGATTATATCTCCCACTTAGATTACCACATATTAAGAATCATCAACTAATGGATATTTATACACCTCTTACTATTAATTGATGCAAAAGCCTCCTCAATAAGGCTATCTAAACTCACATAATTTGTTTGTACATTTTAGTCTGCAACCCTTTAATGATCATAACAAATCTATCTTTATTGCATATTGATAACATCCCTTAAAATGTTCTTCCAAACAAGCTCTAATGCTTCCATGAAGAATTACCCTTGAGAGGCAAGCTTAAACCTATTTCTCATTATGACTACTCAAATTCTTCACCACTCAGCAATGTCATCCTTGGATGTCCCATATTAATATGGTTCAAGATCACAACAAATGTTAGTCCATATGAGAGCTTATGTGTAAACTAGGAGCATTTTGATCACTATAGAAATATCATGCACGACCAATAGAAGTTAGACTAAAAATTTAGCCAATCCTAAAAATTAAATCAAGTTGAAAATTTTTGATTAATTTTGTTCAATTTAATCTTAGATTTATATTTTTAGCTAAAGGGATTATGTGATTTTATTTAGGTTTTTTTGTTTATTGATAGCATCTAAACAATACTTGAAAAAAAAAATTGAACTTTTCTACATATCAACTTTTTTTATATTTAAATATCTAATACCTAAATTTTTATAATTATTTAACAAATTATTGTCTAAAATCATATAAAAAATATATATACATGTAAAGAGATATTTCACTCTAAATAAATTATATTAATAGATTAGAATATTATATAAATAGATATTTAAATTTAGATATAGATTCATAAATACCAAAAAAATATATAAAAATAATGTTGATGCACTAAAATTGGAATAATTTGCTCTTAGTCACATTCTCTTTGTTTTCTTTCTTCTTATTCTTTCTTCTATCTTTCCTTGTGGGCTTCAGAGCTCTTCGTTCTAGTCGTTTCCCCTTCGCCACGCGAGGCCGAGGAGGAAGAGGTGAGAGGAAATCTTATCTTTCTGTTTTAAGACGCCGAGGTTTAGATCTAACTGATTTTCGGATCTTCGGCAGATTATTTTGTTTGATTTGTGCGATCGTCTCAAATCGTCCCCTTTTCTGGCGGATTTGAAACTTGTGAGTATTGAATCTGGTGAGGTCTAGTTTAAAGTTGATTTTTTCTGATTATTCTTTGTATTTTTTCTCTTTAAGCTGGTTAGGTCATCAGTTATCCTGTTCTATCTGTTGTTGTTTTTTTTTAAATTATTTTTTTGTATGATGATATTTTTGTCTCAAAAGTGTTTTAGAAAATCAATCATGTGGGGAGCTGATATAAAGTCTTCTCTTCTTTTTTTTTCTTTTTTAATATTTTATTGATGTTTTCACAAGGCATTAGAACTTTTTCTCATGTAGGATAAGGTTAGTAAAGGCCTTTTTTGAGGATTTTTTTTCTTTCGTAACGTTCTTGGAGAAATTTGTTTTTTTTTTAAAGCTAATAAGCCTTGTAGAATTCAGTGGCCATGCCTATCTTGTTGGGTAATTAGCAGAATAGTTTTGTATGATACATCTCTCTTTTGCTTTGTCGAGTTGTAATTTCTTGCCCGATCGATTTATTATCTACGATAAGGAGAGTTTAAATGAATAAGTTTGATTGTCTGAAAATTTTGTTTGCAAGATTTTTTGTTCTTGTTTAGAATTTAGGGAAGCGGTTTCCTTGTTAAGATGTAATGAAGATTACACAATAAATCATATGGGAGTTGATAGGTGATACTAAAGTCAGAGTTATTCAGACTTCTGTGAAGCTAGGGTATATTTCAGCTTCGCTTTGAGCACTAGAACCCATATGTGTGGTATTTTTGCATACATTTTGTGAAAGGTTCTTTGGAGGCAGCAGCTCGTATCCTATACTGTAAATATTCTGAATCTATTTTGAAGGCAAAGCCTGCAATTTTTATTTCATTATAAGTAGCCTTGAGAATGCCATTACTGATACACGGGAACTTTTGTTAGTTCTTGTAACGTACTAATGTATAAACATTTGGTTCCTTGTTTTCCTTTCTCAAATTTGGACTTCCATTTGCAATTAAACTAGATAAATAGTACTTTTGGAGCTATCATCTTGTGCTTGTGAATATGTTAAATTTGTAGATCAATAGATAGCATTGATGATGAGAACTTTGATACTTTACTATTTCTTAGCATAAGATGAATAGTGCAGAAACCCATTACACTTAATATTTGAGAACTCAAGTTATCATCTCAGTTGTTGAAGCACATAGGTATTATGGCTTTTCTGTTGTTGTTGCTGCTGTAGTTACAGGTTAGTTTGGAGTGCATACAACTAAAAACTTTGTAGAAGCATGTATTTCTACTTGTGATGATGTAGAGCTATGTGGTGCCCTTTTTAATTTTGTTGCTAGATATAGTGTGGAATATGTAAAATTAGTTTTAGAATACATGTAAGAGAGGTTCTTAAAATAATCAAAATTAGAACAAACGTGAGACAGTTGAGTGCATTAATATGAAGGTGATCATGACCTAAAAATATGAAGTTTATATGTTGATGATTGGAATGGAGAGTGAACAATAGAAGTTAAACTTTAATAAGAAAGCATAGCACGTTCTAAGCTGTTTATATTCAAGTATAGAGGAAGAGAAGACTCAAGCATGCATATTCAAGGTAAGGTACATGTGTGATAAAGCTAAGAAGTCTGGAGTATTAAATGACTTCATTAGAAAATTTGTAGGAAACATATATTAAGGATATACTAGAGAAATAGATTTAGATGGTGTATTCATTTATAATTGGGAGCATGAAAGCATGAGTAATGCAGGAAGCTAACAGCTATGTGAAAAACCTAGGAGAAAGAGTTAACATATGTTGGCTAAAATCATAAAAAGTTATCCAATAGGATTTAAATAATCTAGAATTTAAAATTAAAGCTCTACATACATGAAGAATGATAAAAGTTGATATGTGGAGCAAACTCAAAATAGTTGGCAGTTTTTCACAATTATGTCCACTACCTTATCTTGTAAGGGAAGGGAATTTCCAAAATTTGGAGGATTTTTAGTAGACCCGTTAAGAAAGGACCAATTTGAAGCACAAAATTAGGCCAAGGGATAATTATAGGGTTTTTGAAACCATGAACCAATAGGGTGTAACCCATTTGATTTTAGTGACATGGATATAGTTTACCTTTAAGATTATTCTTCTCACTTAAATTACATGGGCTTAATTTTTAACCAAGATTTGATATTATGCAATGCTTTATTGAATTCATTTCAATTTTCAAGTAATGAATGTTGTTTTTTCTAATGTTAAGAGGATAAATAATCAGAGAGATAGGGCAACTCTTTTTGGAACCAATTTAACATTCTTTTATATCGCACCTAATACGGTTATGAGTTTGAGGATAAAACGAGCCCAAGGGAATCTCATTAAGGTATAACCTATGTTGCATCGATACGGATACGGCGACACGATACTGATACGAGACATGTCAATTCTTGAAAATACAGGATACGGGTACGACGCGAACACAACTTTATAATTTATAAATCATATATAAAAAATAAGAAAACAATCAAAGCATAATATTTTAAATTACAAAAAAAGAAGAAGAAAGTTACATCATTTGTAGCATATCAAAATAAAAGTAAGCATTAAATATCTAGTACAACAACAAAAGCATAAACATAAATTTTCTAGCACATGAAGTTTCAACTATTCAATAGAAGGAATGATATGATTAGCTTCTTCAGTGGTTTGTCTTTGAACTTCTATATCATCTTTAATAAATATCATAGCTTTTAATTCAAGCTCATCAGGTGAAAGATTAGCAATTTCTAATATTCCCATATCATCAAGAGACTCAAATCCATCTCGAAAATGAGAGAATCTCGCTCGCAGCCACGAAAGTAAATACGACGGGTCTTTTTTTGGATTTTTTTTGTTTTTCAACGGATAAGCGTATCGGATACGTGTGTCCTTTTAAAATTAAATAGTATTTTAATTGGATACGACAAAGACGTATCCGACACGTCTTGGAGGTGTATCCGTGTATCGGTGTATCAGATGCAGCACACTTTCATAAATAGGTGTATCGGTGCAACATAGGGTATAATTCATTAAACACACACACACATATTCACGAGCACATTAAATTAACCAATATCTGTGTTCAAGAAGGCTTAGCTTTATGCAATCACTTGAAGCTAAAATATCAACTTGGAAAAAAAGAAAGAATCATAAAATAGAACAAAATTGGGAGAATTTTGTGAACAACTTGCCAATTAAACTCATTAATTTTTTAACTGAAATTTACAAGAAAAATAAATAGGCAACTTCCATTCTCATATGAAAAGTAAATTTTGAAAAAGAAAAATGATTAAAAGCAAATAGAAAGGTGTCTAATAAAAGGTCCACAAAAATATTTGAAATCAAATGCAATAGATTGGGCCACTCACTAGCCAAATATATGCTAAAAGAAGCTAATGGGCTATTAAAGAACGTAGATTTAAAAGAGAAATCTTATGAAAATTATGTTCAATTTAGAATTATCATCTATGAAAGTTTTGAGGAACTAAATGAAGTAGTTTGTATAACTTCACCTGCTAAACTATTTTATTTCAATGTAGAAGGTTGTTAACTTGTTATTAAGCGTCAGCCTTCCAATGACCCAGTAAGGAGAGTAGATGTATTAGAGTTAGCTTATGTTAAGAAAGGTAGAGGTAAACCTAAAAAGACTTGGTTAAAAAGTATTAGAAATGACATTTGTTTATTAGATTTAAATGAGACTTTGACTCTTAATAGGACACAATAGAGAAAAATGATTCATGTATCTGACCCCACATAGTCGGAGAATGCTTTGATGTTGTTGTAGAACGTTGTTATAAAAATTGTTCAAACGGAAGTTTTTATAAAGTAATTTTTGAAATAAATAGTTTAAATGCATTAACCAATAGTTATATAGAAAAGTCACTAAATATTTTTTACCAAGTTTCAGATGATGTTATAAAATGAAAATATTTAGACATTGTGTTTGATGATAAAAAATAGTAAAAAAATTGGGGCTTGTAGTATGTTAGAAGTTCAGAGATGCATCTTAGAAAGATGTACTGATTATAATTAATGATATAAAATATGAGATTAATAATATTAAAAAATATATAATATTTTTTAAAACTGAGCAGCAAGCATGCATAATAGGATCATTTATACATAATATAATATAGGAGAAAATATTGAGCAATGAGAAACTAATACTTTGAAGCAAGGTTTTAAAAGGCGAAATCGGGAATCGAGGCGTTTTTTAAGCGAGCGGGGTGCTAAACGAGTCGAGGCGGAAGCCTCGCAGAGCGATAAAAGTCAAATCGCATTCTAACCAATAAGAAGGCATCAATATTCAACCAATCCTTAGCTACGCGCGCACCTCTTAAAACAATAAGTCAAACATAAACCTTCACTCTCCTAACCGGGTTCTGCGAAAGGCCGGTCTTTATACCAAACCATCAACACCGCATCTAATGATCTTCTATGACTACCAACCTTTCACGGAGGTGCACCATCTCGGGTGGGGGGAGGAGGGGGGGGGAAACGCGACTCAGCCGCACGCTAGGCATTCGCGTGCGATCTCTCCCACAAGCTAGACTGTAGAGGGTATGGCTTGGCGGGTAGGAGCGAGGCACTAGAGCGACGACGCAAAAAACGATACACACAAGAAAGAGCAGGCGACAAAGGGTAGAAAAAAAGCACAAAAGAGCAACCGAACAAGGAGAGAGGGCAACTGACGAGGAAGCCAGGGAAAGACGGGGGGGAAGAGGAAAGTATAGACAGATATACCATAGAAAAAAGAAAGAGAGAAAAACGCACAGCTGATACAAACAAGAACAAAACACCATCCATGCAGGATCACAAGACCCCAAAAAGCCAGGCCAACCTGAATTCTGGCAGCACGAGAGATGGGGACCCAGAAGCAATCGTCGGCAGAAATGCGAACGCAAATAGCACGTATGCCGCAAATGGAACAGGTGATCCAAACGATCTAATAACTTAACTGTATAATACTTGATCTCCCCAAATCAACAACCCTTCATATCGATACTACAAAAAACACCCAATATCCGTTTAATCACTCAAGCAAAACCTAG